AACGCTGCTGGTACAATTCAGCAAATCCACAGGACCATTCCAGGCCCTGAACCTGACGACTACAAAGTTGTCTAGAAGTTTTGGAAAAGATCCAAGGTTGTGGCACGAACGACCAATTTACACGTATATTCATGGGCACCGGAGCTTAACTGATTGCAACTCAATCCCTCTATTAATCGATCTGGACTATTAAATATCTACCCATTTGCATTTATCTATAACTCACATAACCAAGCCATTAACATTTTATAAATGAATGCATTATTAAACCTGGCACTATCTCTCGTGTCTGCATAGCATGTCCAAAACACCAAGATTACTACACGGCAACATACCGAGCGTTTCATGGACAACATGAATAGCGCCCTCATGTGACTACAGCACTTAACAATTAGCAAACACCACAATTTGATCAAAAACTACTCGCTCAATAATCTAACCAAGAAAAGAGATATTTGATACTGGGCGATAATTTTTAAGCTCTTCATGATTTAGCCCAGGCTTCTTCAAACTAGGTCTAACAATCACACACTTCTCTGATACTGGAAAACTGCCCGACAGAAGGGATTCATTAATTATCTGAGTCAGGAATGAAACAACATCTGGCAAACAACGTTTCAAAAGACTGGTTGACTGTGGATCTAATTCTCAAGATTTTGAGTTCGATAATCTCAGGAGTTTCTCAATTCTGATGCATGACACACTCGAAAAAAATTTCTAGTTGATAACCTAAATTCCTTCCTGTAGCTAGAAGCTACACATAATCTTAGCCAAATGGCTGAGAAACGAGGAAGAAAGCTACACATCATCTTAGCCAAATGGTTGAGAAACGATGAAGATGATATTTTCCAACTTCAGCAGCCCCAGTTAACCTATCTACCGTGACAGTAAATGAGGAAATGACCTTGGAACGTTTGCCAAATTCATGTCCTTTTCATGAACAATCTTTCAGTGAAAAATGTCCTTGTCACATCCCGGGTTACCCCGAGGACATAACCTTCGGCAGTTATTTGCACTCTCCAGCAAAATAAGACACTGGGTACAAGATCTTCTGTTTTACGGAGACTAATTTACAAATTAATCATTGTTTAAAAAAAATATTTACAGTTTTGTTGATCTTACATGATATGAAATACGCCCGGGACTTTTGGGGTTTTCAACACAGTAGGTGCACAACTTAAATTTAACGTAAAAACTCTAAAGGATCCTTTCTGTCACTGCAGTGATGACTGTTTCACATTTTGGCCAGGAACCCTCGGGCTGTCTCACTGCAGAGTAGCCTTCGGGGCGCCGGCCTGACCCTCTCGTCGTACAGCGGTCTTGACTTGACCCTGAGTCTTGAGTTGTTCCTTGAGTCTCTGGCCAGCCCTTGGATCGGACTGCTAGTCCAATACCCACAGTGGATCCCTATGTAAATGAAATGCAAACCTTTTCTGAACACCCATCTAGTACAAATGTTCAACCACGTCGAAGGGTGTAATTATACAGGATATTATTATTATAGTGGTTGCAACCATTATCAAAACTATTTATAAAATAATGACCACTCCATATCTTGACACAGCTAATCTTTAAAAGTGATCAATGCAACCATAAATCCAAGTTCTCTAATACATCTTCGTTACTCCAGTAAACACTGATCTTAATGTAAATACGTGTAT